TTTTTCTCGTTGCCACTTCAGTTTACATTTCCTGAATACATATATTTAACATATACTTTGATTTTGATTGGCCTATTTTGACTTTATCATGGTGCCATTGTGGGACCACTACATCCTGCTGATACTGTGAATCCTTACTTTTGTTATTCTGAGTCCTCAGTTGATTTTTAACCTTTGATGAGCCATTTTGAATCCCTCCTTTCAAATAAAATCCTCGTTGTTGAATAAATTCAGTCACTACAGACATGTTTGAATTTTTGATTCTAAATTCTTCATTATGTCATTTTGAATCCCTTAACTTTGCTATTTTGAATCCCCTCCACTCTCCACTTTAAATCCCTGTTATGTAGTTTGAACGTCTTTGGGATGTAAATCTGTCCTTTTACCACAATGAAAGCATCATTTTGTAATTTGGAGAAACTGGAGAAACCCTTTGTTGTTTCATTTTGTATCCCAAACTGTAATATCATCCTGTCCTCTGCCATTTTGATTCCCTTCATTTAAACAGAATCAGTTTTCTTGTATGAAGTCAGTCCCCACTTATATATTTGAATTCTTGACTTTTCTCTTTCCTAAATTCTTTATGAAGCCATTTTGAATCCCTCAGAAGCGTCCTCCTCTTCAGTTCCTCTGTGCCATTGGGAATCCCTCAGCGTTTTGTTCAGGTTCTTGCTAAATCCAGACTTCACAATGAGCTGTTTGAGTGTCTCATTGTTTCACCGTTTCTCTGTGTGTTCCTGTGTCTAAATCTGAATGTTTTCTTCCTTCAGTGTTTCACTATTTTCATGTTTCGGTCTGATAATCCTCGGCTCAGTCTTAATTACTCCCTAATAATTAGAAAATCCTGATAATCTGCTGCTTAATCGAGGCAATTCGGCTGACTGACAGCACAGGCGCACACACTCAGCAGTTATCAGGCTTGTGAATGACTTTGAAGCAGATAATTCTCTGTGTCTCAACATCCACTAATTACCAGCAGCTGAAAAATGCTGCGGGAGTCTGAATCAGCTCCTCTGGAAATTACAAGATACAAAGCTAATAATCACACACACACTGAGAAGCTAATGCACTTGTGTGTCTGTATCAAGGCTTTTCTCAGTCAGCACTGTGAATCTTTTTAGTCTCGATCAGATAACGAACACCAGGCTGCACATTTAAAGGAGCAGTAAAACATTCAGGGAAGCCCTCGTCTCCAGCGTCTCCCCGGAGTCGGAGGAGGTGATCGGTGCTCTAGACCTGACCTCATGAATAACGAAGAATCTTCAGTAATTAACAGTTTACAAACAGCTCTGTTGGAGCGAAACCCAAGTAAAATGAAATACCTCACAGAGCCTGTAAAACGTTCCAGAAATGTTCCCCTTTTATTGCTGTTAAACATTAAATCAGTGAGAATTTAATTTGGCTTTTTGACAAGAAATTCTCAAAGTCAC